TTTCTTCAAGCGTCCGCAATAGTTCATGATGGATTCGCCGCCCTTTTGTTTACATTCTGCAATTTCAGATTTTATCTGATAGACCTTCACCCCATTTCCTACTGAAAATCTCTGTTTTATATCTTCCCATAAGTCAAAAGCCACATCTCTGTAGGAAATAGTTGACCGCACAGCAGGATCAATGGTATTAAAAATCCAGGCTACTATAATTGAATTTACTGTCCACCACTTCTCAAGATCTGGGGATCCTTCTTCTGGTTGCTCCACCGTTCCATCAATAAATTGCGATTTGCACTTAGCCCGTAAAGATACTCGAATTCCCTTTGCCCATTCTTCATAATTAGATCCCTTTAGGACAACATGAGTAATTATAGCTCCAGGATTATCATTTGGGCTGAGAATGAAAAGTGGATTTGATGGTGAAGGAACTTTATCATCTTCAGCCATGTTAAGAACGACGGGAAAGCAGGGAGCAAAAACCTTGCTCTGATACCATAAAGTAAAAGAAAGTAAATGAAGGAAATTCAATTGTGTTTATTTCTGTGTGCTCCATGAGTGATCCGATACAACATATATAAGTGTACAAGAGAAGAAGCTAGAAAGCTAAACGAAAAGTCTGTCCTAGGGAATACAAAAGGATAGACTACAAAATGTTAAATACAAATAAATTATTCCCAATACATGTATTCAATGTTTTACTTCTATTAAGAGAATTATCCCTTGAAAACCCCCCTTGACCACCAAACGAGCTTTATAATTATCAACCGATCCATCCGATTTGCTCTTTACTCGAAAAACCAACCTACACCCAATAGTTGGTTGAGTATAACATGGGGGGCTAAGTCTGTTTAAGCAAGAAATTGAGAATCTAATCAAACAATTAAAATAAAGGTTTGCGGGTTTCGTGCAAGAAGAAGCTCTAAGAATCAAGAAATGAAATTACGAATATTATTATGATTTTGGAGTATGAATACAAAGGTAGTAAGTGCTCTGGTCTCGAATGTCCCTTGATTTCCCCTAGATACTTGGATTTATACAACCGTATGCTACCTTCCAACCAAGCTATATGGAAAGAATCTTTAATAAAGGAATACAAATAAATATCTTTCACCTATTTCAGCCGTGTATTAGCTTTCAAAATATACAGTCTTAGTCAACATGTAGTACGTTACTTTCCTTCTATGCCGGGTTCTAGAAGCGTCCGCATCACTTTGTACATCCGGGCTTCCTTTGAGCTGGGCTGGGCATTAAGGACCGTGGGATTCTACAATGGTGAACAAACTCGGGCCCGACAATTGCCCCCTTTCGAGAAGTTGAGGCGTATGGCTGCACATGTCAACCCATTAAGCATCGAGTTTTCGAAATCTTGAAGACACCTATATTTGTCATCCTTGATCATTGCTCATACCAACTCGTCGTCAGACTGACAAGACATGTTGTCAGTCCGTCGCTCTCCTTGCAAGGAGTTTTTGGTCGACTCCGTCTCTTTGACTGAAGCGACGCAGAACGAAGGTCGGTCTTTTATGCTCTCCCTCCAAATTTACGTTAATGCTCATAACTAGGCACTGCTGACGAGTTGAAACTTTGTCCAGGTTGATATCGACACTTCAGTTGACAAGGGGTCATCGTCTTTCGTTGAAGATGACGAATTGGGTTGAGTGAACTTGATCCACATCCTGCAAAAACTGAAAATAGCGTTACGTTTGTGATTTGTGTTGATGTCGTTTGTATTGTCTCCTTATGTCGGAGCTTGTGTAATTCTGTAGTTTTGTTGTACGTGTGTTGTCATATATGTTTTGGTTGCACGTGCGTTGTCATGTACGTGTGTAGGTTTTGGCCAAAACGCATTGCATGGGCTCTGTTAGGACTGTGATCCATGGTATTCTCATGGGCAGCCTAACCCTTCCCATTTTGATGTTTGAGTAAAACGTTGGGCTGATGTGAGCCTGATTGACGTCTTGTAACCTTTGTAGGTCGCTTCTTTAGCTGTCTGAACTTACACTTCAAGATATCCTTGCATTCGTCTCAAAGCGTCAAAGTTGGCCGTTGGCTTTGGGCCAACAGCCCTCCGATGGTTAAGTCAGTAAAAGCAATACATCTAACTTTAGGAAAAAATATATACTTTATAACCAGTATGTCACAACTTTCCCTTAAGCAAGACGATCACAAACCCAAAACTTTAATAAAAATAAAATTTTATAATGAAGTATCTATTTCAGCTCATAAACCAGATGAATTATTTAGATTAAATCCAGCGATCCGCCAAGAGTCAATTCAGAAAATAAGAAATCATTTTGCAAGAAACGTACTGGTTGACGTCGTAAACTTCCAACATGACACTTTGTTGTGCTCACCGCATTTGACTCGTCGTTAATCATCAAATGAACTCATAAAGAAATGAAAAATGCTAAAGTGGCGTACAGATGGTACTGTTTTAAGCTATGTTGTAAAAACCGGACCGGAGAGCGACCCGGAGCGATGATCGGGTCAAGGGTCAACCCGGACCCGACGGGTCAGCCCGGTCAGCGACCGGAAAACCCGGTCAACACATATATATAATATACTCCGTATAATATTTATACATGATATATATATATATATATATTATATGTGTGTGTGTGTATGTATGTATGTATTTATACATATATAATAATAATGATACAATATAATCCATCCAATTAAGAAATCATTATTTTAGAACTGTTGCATATTTTGGTTTCTCAAAATCTCATCCCTTGAAGCTTCTTCCTGAATAAACAAGAATTGTTGCAGAGTTCCTGCTAATCAGAACTTTAAGATTTGTCTTGTTTGACAGATCTTTCTGTGAAAAAAAAAGATGAAACTATTTGCTTGAAGACGAAACTACTCCAACAGTTAGACTGTCTGACATTAACCGTTTCCGCCGACTGGTGTGTGTTCATCATGTTATGCGCACATTTATCCCTTCGTTGCTGAGTTTGCGGAAGTTAGTATAGAACCAGTGAATCACGACGTTCTCAAATTTTACACCCGTATTGATCGATATTTCCTATGAAACAAATGAGCAGGCACTGCTATGTAACTATTTCTACGCAATAAACGACAATTTCTACTCTTGGAAAGTAGATGTGCAACTTCTATGAGTTGTTTTATGGATTTGTATGATGATCTTTGTCCATGTGTCCAACCAAGGTATGTTTGTAATTATAGGTTAGTTATTTAGTTTTTGTTTATTGTAATTATAGGTTAGTAATTTAGTACTACTAACCTGAGTGGTACTGAAATTTAAAAACCATACCCTAAGGCCAAACATTTTATTTCATCAATTATGGAGGAAGGATGAATAGAATTTCGAATCACAGGTGTACTTCATTAAACTTCAATGCTGCTCTGGTGAATAGACACCTTCGTATATACAAACTTAGGGTTTAATTTGTGTGTGGTGTGGACACGACAGATACAACTAAAATTTACACTCCAATTTAAAATTTTATTTATTCTGCTTACTTTTTGGAAATTTGAGTGCATCTTTTTTAATGTATCAGATATTTATTTTCCAATATCAATATTTATTTAATACTCCATACATGATAAGATCTCATCATTGTGCTATAGACCCATGCTACGTAAGTATATCAAGGGATGTTCCCAGTTTTGAACAACCGGTTGGCAATTCTAAAATTAGGGAACCAGAATAAGATCTGCATTGCACCGACTTCTTATATGGCGGTTCCTTTTCGAATCCAGCTCATTTCCCGTTCCAATTTTTATATTTTACTTTTTAAATATTAGTTTATTTAAACGTATAATATATATTATGTAATAACTAATAAAATAATCCAAAAAATTGTTCATAAAAATTATTAGTGTAATTAATTAATTAATTAATTAATATTATTATTATTAAATAACCAAAAAAACATAAAATACAAATACCTTATTACCCCGATCGCACGGGTACAATACTAGTTTCAAATAAAGAGTATGTGGTTACTGGAGAAATTAGTTTAAACGAGTCACGTTCACTCCAAACTTGACTAAATTGACCCTTTCTACACATACTTTGAGTAAAGCACAATAAAGGGTTAGCTTGTAGAAATAGTGAGAATAAATCGGATGTATAAAAAACTGTAGTCAATAGATTTGAGTTTTTGTTGACATTTATTACCATTCAACTTAGGTGGTTGAGTAATTTTTGATGTGATAAATGCCCCTATTTGCCCACCCAATCCATGTGCCAGTTGAACACGCTTCACACAAAACAAATTAGGTTTTTTTTATTACCCCAGTGGGCGTCAGGGGGAGGGGGATTTGGGGGGCCTGGGGTAAACTGGGTTCAATCTCACTGAGAATTGAACCCGAGACCTCCCGTAAGGGAGAGTGAGTCGGCGACCAGCTGGGCTGGACCGCTTCGGGCGCTTCCTCAACGCTTCACACAAAACAAATTAGGTGCACCAACAAAACCAACACAGAAACGTGTGAACCATGAGTCTGAGACTCTGAGTCATTTATATTGTGTTTGTAGAGTTTGCTTACAAATAAGACTCGTGTGTTGAGTTGGATTTTCTTCACTGCATTCGCCATTAGGTGTGCGATTCATCGCTGATGGGACATGGACACACAACGTTATAACTTTTGTTACTCACGACAACAATTCTATACCGGCCGATCCAAGTAATCAGAAGGGTTGAACCTCAACCGAGTGAACCAAGTCATGCCCACAAGCCATTTCCAGTTGATTTTGGATGACACAAAATCAATTCCAGTCCTAATGCCCATTCAGTCTTTTTACATGCCCAGTTCGGGCTCACGGGGTTAGTGATTACAAAAGGTGGAGTGTATCGCACAAGTTATTTATAACAATGTCAGATCACATTGTAGGTCTGTACAATGTTGAACTTCAATCAAATCTATTTAAATGAATGAAGTTTAAAAAAATGGAAACACTAAAATTGGGTGCTAGAAGCACAAAGTCCGTATACCCCCCCACCCCCCCCCCCACCCCACCACCCACTATACAGCTCAGCTACACTCAACGTCATCATCAATTAAAACGAATAAAAGAAATGGAAGTAAAAAAATCACCTTACACCATTGAATGAGGAGAAAGTCATTGTAGCCTGTGACGTAGCCATCATCATGTTTCCTGACGAAGAGGAATTTCCGGACCCAATAGATGGTGTAAATAATTTCTCTCTCTTTTGACCCTTGAGACTCATTAGTTCAGTTAACAAGCCCGGTTCCGATATGACCGAGTCGTCCATGGCTACGTCCCCAGTTAGCATTTTCAGCAGGGTTGACATTGATGGACGGTTCTTGGGCATCGTTTGGGTGCACAAGAGAGCAATTTTTACATATCTACAAGCTTCAACACTGTTGAAGTCTTCTCCTAGTGATGCATCCACCACCTGAACAACCTCCCCTCTTTGATACAATCTCCAAGCCTACCAATAAATTTATTTCAGCAAGCATTTACGTTACGTTTGGCAAGACATGTCGCCTTAAGAGATATTTCTAGTTGTACATAAGATCTTGGTTTAAAAAAGCGCGCCTGAGGCGCGCAAAGGCGCGAGGCGCCTCTGGGCGATGACTTCATCGCATCCAAACATCCCAGGCGCAGCAGATTCCATAAGGCGCGCCTTTTACCTCGCCTAGTGCCGCTTTTTGCGCCTCTTTGAGGCGTCGCCTTTCACGCCTTATGGAGAATATGTCCGCTGACCTTCCTTCAAGCCTTTGGCGATTCATCCTGCTCGCCTAGACTTCACTCCATCAACTCAAAGTCTCAAACCTTCCGCTTTTTCTGTCGCAGATCATTGCCGTTTTTATTTTTCTTTTTCTTCCGTTCTCTTGTTTCTTTTGTTCGGCTGGGTACGTTTCTTTCTTCTGTTCTGTTTGTCTTTCTTCCTCTTGTTTTTCTATTCTTTATATTTTTATTTGTTAAATAAAAAAAATAATTCAAATTATGTAAATATATAACCATATAACAATCTTCCCTAAGCTTATTAAAAAAACAATCTTCCCTAAACCCTAATACCAATCCGAATTTTATCAATTTTAAAAAATAATAAATATGGTTTCTCAATCTGTGAATCTGATTGTTTAACTTTATACTCTTGATATTTTATAACAATTAGTCAATTATATATGACAGCTTGTTGTTATTAATAATCTTTATATACAAGTTTATTTTAAAATTTACTATTAATGGCTTAGGATTAGTAATAAGTATTAACAGTTTATTGTAAATATATTTACTATTAATAGAAGTATTTTTTAGATAAGTGCTTCATGTAGAAGTTGTATAAATATATTTTACCAAAGATATGTGGTTTAGTTCAGTGAGGCGCGCGCCTCGTCGCCTTGCGCCTCACGCCTCGGGTAAATCGATGAATCGCCTCATGCCGCCTCGCGCCTTTAAAAACTAAGCATAAGAGATGAGAATTGCTTTTATTACATGCCGCCTTAATTTTGCAACTGCAGTAACTTCTCCAATGAGAGGCGGTAAAAAGATGAACGGCAGCCTATAATCATATACTAGTATATCTTTGGGATTCTTCTCCAGTTTTACTGCTAACCAACTTTATTCAAGTGTAAAATTAAGAAAGGATTAGGTAAGGGTGAATTTTGCAGAATTAGGTAAGATTGCAAGGGATGAAAATAGTGTCTCCAGATCATTAGTTACCCTTTCAAGAAGATATTGATCATCAACTGGGAGACGTGTGTTGGTATGACATCTCCCACTGACAATTTCTAAAAGGAGAACGCCAAAACTATAAACATCCGCTTTCCTGGTCAGTCGGGAAAGCATTGCATACTCCGGGGCCAAGTAGCCTCTGCACACACATACAAATGGATATTCAAATGAAACAACAAAAACCATTTCTTAATCCACATATCTAAAAGAACAAAAAAAAACATTATTCTGAAAAGCGCAAGGGTCTAGGCAGGCGTCGGATCAGGAGCCCACAGCGGCATCAAGGTTATTAAAATCGCGATTTAGATCGTAGAATCGTACGATTTTACGATCCAAAAGCACCAAACCGATTTGAATCGTCCACAAAATCGAAATTTTAAAAAATCGTAAAAAAATCATTTTGAAATCGCTGAAATCGTTCAAATTCACGATTTTATACGATTTCCCGATTTTAAAATTTGACCTCGCTCGCAGCAAACACAGCCGAGTATCTCTGGCCGGTCAGGCTACTTAAAATGTTATCCTGCGTGCTTTATATAGATAAGGGAGGGGGGGAATTCGCTATGCTCTTCCGGTCTTCCGGTGTGGGAAACTTTGATTTTAGAAGAATAAAGAAGCTTTTTTGGAAAAATCAAAACCAGTCAAAACGACGGTTTTCGAACCAACCTCCAACACTCTTGAATAAAAATGTGCTCATTCCTTAACCAATCCACCATAAGCAACTTTATGTACTAACGTAACTATTGCCATGCTTTTATTTAAACAAACTATTGCCATACTTATTCAATGCTCTTCAAAACAAACATAATTACACTTACATAGTCTTGACAAACATATACGGAGTATTATTGTGACACTTGATTAGAACATTATTATTATTTTCGTGAAAATTTTGTTCTTTGAGTATATAACATTACTTTGTTTTATCATAGTATATAACTTAAACTTATAACGGTTTCACTTAATAATGTTATATTTTGAATTTCCTTTAATCCTTTGATTTAATATTTTTAATAATTTTATATACTTATTTTGTAAAATCTTACGATTTACGATTCGATTTTAAGATTCGATTTTTAAATCCTTGTTCCGATTCGATCCAAAAATACGATTTTAACAACCTTGAGCGGCACTGCCTAGGCGAGGGCTATGCAAAGTCTACATGAATTTTTTTAGAGCAGAAGTAAAAAACAGAACTAAACAGATAGAACTATATATATGATAGGATTAGTTACTTCTACTTCCCTTGGCCTTTGGTCATATTACCAAATGGCTCTCAAGGATTTTGAAAATTGCAAAAAAGCCTGCTTAACTAGTTAACTTTCTACAAATGACAGTGAAATATGATAAGATAAAATGATATTAGTAGAAACTAGTAAGGATTTTCAGACTAAATTGCACTTAAGATTTGCCTTTGATTTTTTCAGTGATCACTATAAATTTCTCAACTGATTAAATGCATTAGAAACGCTGAATTCAATATTAACACACACAAATGCTGCTAATGCTATAAAATTCTAGTCTTTCAGTGACAAAAGTCACTTCAAACTGGCAGAAAGATGATCGATCAGGTATATGAAGAAATTAGAGATGGTGAGTTTGGGCCTAAATTACCACAGTTAGGAAATGCAAGCAAAAGGAACGAGGAACTCTAACTATTATATTAGTTTCTCAACTGATTAAATGCATTAGAAACGCTGAATTCAATTTTAACACACACAAATGCTGCTAATGCTATAAAATTCTAGTCTTTCAGTGACAAAAGTAACTTCAAACTGGCAGAGAGATGATTGATCAGGTATATGAAGATATTAGAGATGGTGAGTTTGGGCCTAAATTACCACAGTTAGGAAATGCAAGCAAAAGGAACAAGGAACTCTAACTATTATATTAGTTTCCTTACTAATAATACATTAGCTTCCTCTTATTATTAGTAGTAGTCTCATATTGGGATTGGTATTTTGTTTTAGTTAATATTATTCCTATTGCCAGTTCTAGTAATAGGTTTACGATAGCTCTAATACTTGTTCACGAGGACTATTGGGACTATTACGAATGTAGGTGCTCCATTCATTAATAATATCATGAAACAACAGGACAGTTTTACTTGACAGGTGGGTTCCATTATGCTCCCTGTCTCCCCAGACAAGCAAGATGTGTGTTCATTCAAGACCGTCCGATAAAGAACAGACAGTGTGGATTCCAATCCATGGCCCCACCACATTTGCAGACCGTTGGATCTTTGCATCCAAAGGTCCGACATAAATGTTGCTTCGAAGGATGAAGACGAAAATAATTCATCCACATTTCATTAGTCTTCCCATCCTACTAATTTCCCAACCAAACACACAACTCCTCCACGCTCGAATCGTGCAACCAAATAAAGGGTCTATGTGTAGCTGAATAAATTTAAGGATATTATTTATACTTTGGAACAAATATGAAGGGTGTATGTAACCTTTCCACAAAAAGCATCAACTTACTGAGTGCCTGCAACACGGGTGCTGATATGAGTCGCATCATTGGGGAAGAGCTTTGCAAGACCAAAATCAGCAATTTTTGGATTGAGGTCTCTGTCAAGAAGAATGTTGCTTGCTTTAATATCTCTATGGACAATCCGAGGTTGTGCTTCTTCATGGAGAAACGCAAGTCCCCGGGCCACACCCATGCATATTTTCACACGGGTCCTCCAATTAAACTGAATGGAGTTGTGCCTCGGACCTATAAACAAATGAAACTCTTGTTTATATATATAGGGGGCGGATAGGAGGCGGATCGAGTACAAATAATGATTATTGTGAAAATATTCGTACAATCCAACTTTACGCTAATTGTATTGCATATTATCGTTCAAAGTGTTGCACCCGAAAGAAGTTTGGTTTTATTACCACAATGCCACCGTGCTTATATAACCTTTAGATCAAGTCATCGGATCATCAAGATGAGTTTGTAGTTTGTAAATTAGGAAGTGTTTGTATTTGATCCCTTATATATATAAATAAATAATTAGGTTCAAATGAGAAAACGATCTTAGGAGAGAAATGTGGATTAATCTGTACCGTTATATTATGTTATGTGAAATTGAATGTGCATTAGGTGAAACTGAAACATGCATCAGGTGAAATTGAAATGTGCAACACAAAGGGTACGACATAATGACATTATGTGAAGCTGATTCGTGCATTAACTGAAACGTACAGAATAAAACAATGCAGTGACATTTCTGCACCTTTTATTATGCACATTTTTAATTTCACCTAATGCACATTTGAGTCTTACCTTTTATTATGCACATTTCAATTTTACACAATGCACCTTTTATTATGCACATTTTTAATTTCACCTAATGCACATTTGAGTCTTACCTTTTATTATGCACATTTCAATTTTACACAATGCACATTTCAATTCCACATAAAACAATCCAATGGTCCAAGTTCATTCTCATTTCTCTCCTGGGAGTACTTTCTCACTGGAACTAGGGCTGTTAACGAACCGAGCTTTTATCGAACTATTCGAGCTCGAGCTCGATTTCGAACCTAACGAGCCGAGCTTAACGAACTTCGAACTCGAACTCGAGCTGAGTTTTAAGTTCGAAAAATTAATCGAGCCCAGCTCGAACATAGTAGTTTTCGGCTCGGTTCGAACTCGAGCCTATCGAACACCCTAAAATTTTAAATATAATTTTTATATATGTCAAAATTTAAATATAATTAGTATGGTTTTATGAATTTAAATATGATTATTAATGAACCGAATACTTGTCGAACCATTCGAGCACGAGCCTATTAACGAGCATCATCTAAAATTTTAAATTCGGGCATATTTATCGAGCTTATCGAGCGCTCGGTTCGAACATCGAACGCCTATCGAGCCGAACACGAGCCTCATTTGTAAAGCTCGCCGAGCTTCGAGCTCGAACCCGAACACCCCTTATTCCTTAACGAGCCGAATTCGAGCTTTGGGTGTTCGGGCTCGGTTCGGCTCGTTAACAGCCCTAACTGGAACCACTCCTTATATACGGTGAGCTATGTGGCACGGGAAAGAGTACGTTTCCGTTTCGGAAACTCTCTAAACAAGCTTTTTTTGAGCAAAAGTTGACGTTTCTCATTTCTTCATGATTATGGCGTTTCCGTGCAACCTAGATGGTGAGGTTCTAATAGAAAGAGGTGTTTAGGTGAGAAATGAGAAAGAATCTCAGCCATTAGATTCAACTAGGTTGTAAACTTGTAGTAAAAGAGCTTCAATATTGCACTGAAAAATGAAACCATGTGTGATGGCATTTTCATAAATATTTTTGAAAAATTTGTGTTACACCCCTCTAGTGCAACATGAAGCTGTTTTAATGCAACATCGTCAAAACCTACTGCAATATGAAACTGTTTTAATGCAACATTACAAAAATTAAATCATATTGCAACATGAAGTTGTTTTTAGTGCAAACTGCAAAATCGTAAATCCAACGGTTGAGATTCATTCTTATTTCTCACATTAGATGTATTTCTCACTTGAACCAAATGTATGGATTGGTTTCAGTGAGAAATGACTCTCAGGAGAGAAATAAGAATGAATCTGGACCGTTGAATTGTATGATGTAAAATTGAATTGTGCGTGTAATGAAACTAAAATGTGCATTAGGTGAAATTGAAATTTGCATCATCAAAGGTAAAACTCAAATGTGCATTACGTTAAATTGAAATGTGCAAATTAAAAGGCACACAAACATCACCACATTTCAGTTTCACCTAGTGCACAATTCAACTTCACATAAGTCATTGTGTTGGACCGGGCCCGGCGGGCTTTTTGGGGTTTGGGGTTAGGCTCGGAACCGGCCCGAATATCCACCGGGTCCGGTTCGGGCCGGGCTCGGGCCTGTTTATAAATAATTTTTTTTCTTTTCTAACTACCCCCTAAACCCCCCCCTCACCCCCCACCCCCAACCCCCCCCACCCAAACACCCTGGTGACCCAGCCCAACCCGGAGGAAAGCAATAAAGAATTGAAAAAACCAAAAAAAAAAATATTTAGGCCCGAACCGGACCCGGGCCCGGCCGGGCCGGCTCACATTTCCCTTAGCCCGTACCCGCCCCGGTTACCCCCCACAAACCGGGCCTAGACCCTAAACCCTAAACCCGGTTCCTGGTCCGGGCCGACACAGTACCGGGCCGGTTCCCAGGCCGGGCCGGGTGGCCCGCGCTGAGTCCAAGCCTATTTTGGGCTGCACGTATCGTTTCACCTAATGCACATTTCAGTTTCACCTAATGCACATTCAATATCACAAAATACAATCTAACGGTCCAGATTCATTCTCATTTTTCTCCTAAGATTATTTTCTCACTTGAACCTAATTATATATATACACACACACAAATATTCCGGTCAGGAATTTCCTGACCGGAGCCCCGTCCGGCCTCCTCCATTTGGGGGCCTTCCCGGTGGTATTTTTTGCTCAAATTTTGTGTGTGTGTTCCTCATCAAGTCTAGTTCACCCATACCAAATTTCAGCAAAAAATTCAATCGGGAAGATCGTCAAATGATTTTTGCAAGTTAACTGGTCCGAAAAATACAGGTGAACTAAACTTGATGAGGAACATACAAAAAATAATTGAGCAAAAAATACCACCGGGAAGGCCCCCAAATGGAGGAGGCCGGACGGGGCTCCTGTCCGGAAATTCTGGACAGGAATAGCTCTCTCTCTCTCTCTCTCTCTCTCTCTCTCTCTATATATATATATATATATATATATATATATATATATATATATATATATATCACATAAGAAGTGCATCTAATTTGAGAAATGAAAATGAATCTCAATATTGGACTTGAAATGTTATGCTAAAATATCTTCATGATGCATTAGTTAAATTTTACGATGCTGCACCAAAACCGTTCCACGTTGCATTAGAATTTAATGATGTTGCACTTATAGAGCTTCATGCTGCACTAAAGAGGCATGACACAGATTTTTTCAAAAGTATTTACGAAAATGCTACCGCACATGGATGCATATTTCAGCGCAACATGAAGCTCTTTTATTGCAATATAATCGAATCCGACGGCTGAAATTTATTCTAAATTCTCACCTAAAGGCTTCTTCTTATTGGAAAGTCACCATATATATACAAAGTATGAGTTTTATGGATTTAGGATTTGAAATATAGGTTTACCGTTTACCTATCAATCAAGAACCTCGAAAATGAAAATTATAACTTCATTACCCTGGTTGAAACCATCAATCTATGACTTCAAAAATCATGAATTTCTTTAATAAAAGAATACATAAAATAAAAATAATATCAAGTTCGTCATTAAAATTAGAATTATAAATTCATAATTTCATTTACTCAGGTCCTAAAGATTGATAGTTTTGATCTTCTTTTTAGATCCTCCATTGACCCTGAATAAAAAACCAAATGAGGGCATAGTGAGAGAGAGTGAGAGAGAGAGAGGAAGAGAAAATCACCAAGAAGAGTTTGAGCGAGGCTATTGTTTTCCATATAGGCATATACTAAGATCCTAGCATCCTCTTCAAGGCAACAACCATACAATTTCACCAAATTTTCATGTTCTAAGCCAGAGATAACAACTATTTCTGTCAAAAATTCTTTATCACCTTGCTTGGATTCAGCAGAGAGAACTTTAACCGCAGTCAAAGTTCCATCTCTTAGTCGCCCCTAAGAGTCAATAGATAAACTTCAGTACCAATACAATATATGAAAAAACTACAGAAACTTAATGAAATTATATTTTATAATATTCTTTTCTGGTTCCAAGACTATTAGACAATTCCATCTTTTGGTCCCCGATTTTCAATATATCCACTTATGGTGCATCAGTGCATGACCATATATTTCTTGTTACTTTTGGTGCTTCCAGGGTAATTTCTGATTATTTTTCAAGAATATGGCTGGAAAGGACATGAGCTGCCAAGAAATACATAGTTCCACATCAAAAGTGGTAAATATTAAAGTTGGAGGCTGAAAATGAGGATGACCTAATGCTATAGGGCCAAAAATAGACATTTATTGAAGAAAAAGATTAGAATATTATACTTTGTACACAGATCCAAACCCTCCTTTTCCAATCATATTTGAGAGGCTGAAGTCTTCAGTTGCCATCCGCAATTCCCTATAACTGTATATCTTAGCATTCTGACAGCTTGAAACTTCTGTACCAATTTCTTAACCAATTTAGAATCTAAATGTGAAGGAAGAACACACATGAATTGTATTTCTACTTCCAGGATTAAGAACATCATGTTTGAATCAGATTCTTTGTCTTTTTTCTACCTTCTTCAATGTCTATTTGATGCCTTGGGGGAGATGCTATTGTTCCAGAACAGCAACCGAAAAAAGTCATACCACCAGTTTGGAACAATCTTTAATTCACATAGATATCGCGGCCTTACAAGATCAATCTAGCTATATAACATAAGAAGACGCTAACATTTCAAGTATCAAGTAAATAAGGGTGAAACACATTTGAAATTACAGTTATCATTGTGAATGTCATTGTCAAGCCTTGCTTATCATATAGGGTATAAAAGTGAAAGGGTAGTTGCAGTTTACTAATTCCGGGGGGGGGGGGGGGGATTAAAAAGTCCAAGAAAAAGAAAATCCTAAACTACTATGAGAATAATCACAAGCAGATAGGAGGAGACAATAATACAGAACAATCACCTGGCTTTACATCCTTTCCTCCCACTCTGCTGAAGTTTTAGTAGATCAGAGAATCTTGCCTCAAATCTTAGAAGTTCTTTGTTTTTCAATGTTCAAGTCAATAAAAGAGAAAGGTCAAAACACAGTGATGAAAATAATTACCAAAACATTAGAATGTCAGTGGCTGCACAGATTAACGCTTGGAGAACAACAGATGACCCTTGATTACTCAACCACTAAATTACAAAATTCAAACACACCCATCGAGGGTAGAGATATAATTCGAGATGCGAAGCAGTGTTGTGAAGAACTGAAGAAACTGTGCTCTCGATTGACTTCACGATATGGAGAATTGACCACACCACACTGGATTGAAATTTGTGTACCATCATGGAGGTTGTTTTGGTTATATTAACCACAATCAATTTTTTTTGGTGATATACTCCCTCCGGTCCTTATTAAAGTTCTCAGTTTGACTTCACACAAATTAAAAAAATAAATTTAACTTTAATGTGAAGTGCACTGTTTGGCACTGTTGGGACACTGTTTTGCACTGTTTTGTTTCCTAAAATGGAAGTGTGAACTTAAATAAGGGACATCCCGAAAAAGAAAGTGAGAACTTCAATAAGGACCGGATGGAGTATCTATATATTTTATCCGTATATAACTATAGAAGTTTGGACTAGTCTGTTTAAGTTTCATTTGGTTTGATAAACTTTGTACTCCCGCCATTTCCAAAAGAAAGTCACAGTTTAACTTCACACTTATTAAGAAAATAAATTTATTGAGGGATAAATTTTACTGTAGAGAATACTGTTTGACACTGTTTTGCACTGTTTCGTACTGTTTTGATATAGATTTCTTTGACAAAAAAGGGAAATAAAGGAAGTGTGACTTTGTTTTTGAAACATTCAAAAAAGGAAAGTGTGACTTTGATTCAGAAATGGAGGGAGTATATGGTACATTCGTTATTCCAAATGGGGTCTTTTCAATCTGATTCAACCTGAAACCCAATTCGAACCCGTCCAAACCTGACATTAATTAAAATTGATAATATTTCATTAAAATATACATAGATTCAGATATAGTTTCTTCTTCTGAATCCGTAAAATCAATAAAAGTGTCATGCTGCTAGAGTGCTATGTGAAACACCCCGAATCCTACACCAAAAAGCATAAGATCTGGGCATTTTGCCCCATAAAAAACTAAGACAGATAAAACTAGAAAGAATTGTCGGTCTATGACTTTTGACTTTTCAAATTCTAAAAATATAACCCTTTTTCTTTTTCAAAAAATGTGATTCGGGCTTCTCTCCCCACGTCTCTCTCCGCACAGATGCACAACACAGGCCGAGACTTTTCTCTCCCGTCATAAACCACTGGCCATGACGTGGTCTTCCTTCATTTCTGCACGAGGTTGATGCGCCTCTTCTCTCCGCACGGCCATGGCGCCTTCTCTCCGCCGATCCGCCTACCAGAGCCTCGTCGTCCCTCATCAGCTGCATCTCCGCCGGTCCGCGAAGGCCGACGAACCTCGAACTAGGGATTTGCCTCGCCGATCTTCCTTTATTATTATTATTATTATTATTATTATTATTATTATTATTATTATTATTATTATTATTATTATTATTATTATTATTATTATTATTATTATTATTATTATTATTATTATTCTCCTTTCTTGTCCGCAAATCACCAAGCCACCGACGCGGTGAAACTGAGCCATCGACGCCGTGAAACTGATCTATCGACGCCGTTGCTGCTCAGCACTTCTTCTCGTCGCAACCGCTTGCGTTGTCCAGCATCGTCTATGCCTTCTCTGCCTTCGCCGCTGCACCTCTCTTTGTTGTTGCTTTCACGTTCTTCTTCTCCCTACTTCGGATACACCTCGAATCAAAAGACGGATCTGGCAAGCGGCCAGATCTGGCGGAGGACGGCGGCTAGGGTTCATTGGTGGTGGTAGGGGCTGGGTTGGACTGTCAAATGTGGGGCTAGGAGGGTGAATTAGGGCTGGGAGGGGTGGATTGAGGCTGAGAGGGGTGTATTGGGGCTGAAAGGGGTGGATTGGTGTGCGGCAGCGATTAGGGTGGCTGGAGATGACAGAGTTGGTGGCTGGGGCTGGGATTCTGGGGAGTCAAGTCAGGGTAGGGAAGTGGTGTTGGTCACTAGGCTGTGGCGGTGGTCGGCCGTAGTGATGGCCGCGACTGTGACAGGGAGGGGCAGTGTAGAGGGCGTGGTTGCCAATGGTGCACAGGGGTTGGGGCTTAGGTTGGGGTGCGGTGGGCGCCTGGTCGGCCGGGGTGGTTGATTTGAGGTGGTTCAATGAAAGGGGCGTACAACGGCAGTGACTTGCCGGGTGAGGGGGGCAGCCGGGGTAGTGACTGCCCGACAGAGTCATTGTCGATGGCGGCGGAGTCATTGGCGATAGTGGCGGCAGTCACTGGCCGGTGAGCAAGCAGTCACCGTAACAGGAGTCACTGTGGCTAGTGAGCGGTGGTCATTATGGCCGATAAGCGGGCAGTCACTGTGGTCGGTGGGGCAGTCACTGTGGTCGGTGTGGTCACTTTGATCGGAGTCACTTTACACATTTTTAGAATTTTTAAAAACAGATCACTTTTTTTATCGTTTATCCCATTTTTAGTAATATTGGAATAAAAATGCCATAAAACCAAGCATAAAAAACATGTTTTTAATACTACCCCGTCTCGGTGGACTTTGCCAAATGCAAAGTAGGTGAGAAATAAGAATAACAAAATTCGTGTGGTTGATATTTGTGCATAAAAGAGAGAATTGTGCAGAAACACAAATTAGTTGCTTTAAAGGAAAATTAAAAAAGTTTTTTGGGAACAACAAAAAAGGGAAAATTGATAAAGTGTCGTGGTCCAGGAAGTATTCATATTGTCCATCCCAAAACCCGCCCCCTAATCAGGCCCTGTCAGTTCAAACCCTCTGGACTCCTGAGGGCCCGACCACCATCTATCAGATGCAAGTTGAGGCCATCGCCGCGGAGTGCGTCTCCTTCAACTTCCCGGCAAGTTTTCCAAATCCTAGCCTTCATATTGCGTTGTCATAGAAATGCTAGGTTGTGATTAAGAATCGTAAGGATCGGTGAGAAGAGTCACTGGCTGAGAAAACGCTTAACGATCACAGTCTAGAACTTAGGATAGTGAAAATTTCTGATTCACCTTGGATCAGTATCCTTTTCTTATTCAGATATGATACTGCTGTGTTGGTCTTCACTTGGTATACTTCCATTTCCATTGCTTCCATGATCTAATATATGTTTGTATATCTTTACATGTGTTTGAAATGGAGCTGATATTCATTAATGGTAAAAAGAATGATGAAACTCGAAGCTGCGAGCTGCGGAAGTATAAAATTGCAATTCTTTTTTTAAATTGATTCAGTTATTCATATACTGCAATTTAATAATATATTGAATTAATATATGTTTGTAAAATGATTGCAAATATTAGCTCTGCAGTTTTTTTAATGAAGCCCTACACTTTGTTAATTTACACCTTTCATCAGTATTTTGTCTCTTCAGATATATATCATTTTCAACTTAATATTTTTTTCAGAAGATTCATTAAATAGGACTAAAACATAGACAAAGTGTACAAATAGGACCACCATTGTTTTCTCCCCAAAATAAGGCTCATTCACTCCTAATTGAAGAAGTTTTATACTTCTAATAAAATCAAATAAGTCCTAAATTATGAACATATAGTCCTATTAATGCACATAGGTTGACTTTTAATCCTATTTAGAGAAATTACTAATTTTTAACTCTAATGTCATTGTCGGTTAGCCGGCCCCAAACTCTTTTGGGATTAAGCCTTAAATGTTGTTGTATCAATGTTTTGTCTCATACTTTCTTCGAGTGTTGTCTTTTTTTCCTGTATCTAGTCCCATTTTTCTGCTTCTCCATCTCTGTGTTGCACAGATTCTCAATCATTTTATGTGCGATTGCGCGCCATGAGAACGTGAAATATCTGAATGATTAAACATTTAAATGTATAGCAGATTAAACTTAGTGTGGCTTTGGTAAGTAGGAACATGTCAGCTATTTTCTATCATAGGAAGAAAAGAAACATATGGTATCACTGTGTAAAGTTGCACAAATGTCGCCCACACAGATTCATAAATTTGGTTATGCTCTGTACTTTAATCATCATCATCCTTATTGGGACTTTAGTTCCAAGTTCCAACTAGTAGGTGTCATTGACTTGAAATTTATAGTTTTATGCTCAGATTGAACTCTGATTTATCATTTATTATTATTCGTCATTATCATCGTCATCATTATCAGCACCTTAATCCCTGCCCAACTAGTTTGAATTAGTGGCATCAAATTTCTTGTTTAGAGCCTTTTGGTAGGACTTGAAAATATGAAATGGCTGAATCAGATAAAGCTGCTGAAGTAATACTTTAAAATGGCCGAATCTGCTGAACTAGATAACTTATTCATATATATGTGTGTGTGTATGTGCACACTCGTATGTATACACATGTATATAATTGGAGAAAACAATGTCAAAAGTAAAGGCAGGAATGTCATTTTCAGCCATTTCAATAACAGTCTCAAATAAAGGCATTAGGAAATGTTAACCATCAACGCACTAATGATGAATTGATGATTAGAATACTATTTTTGATTTGAAGATACAAAAAGTTTTAAGTGTTGATGAGATCCTTCAATGAGTTACTTGTTGGCATGTTGAGTATGAAGAATTTACTTTGATGATTTAGAGTATCCACAAAAATCATGAAAATTATTGTCCTTTCTTATTAATACTTAATCATAGGATTCTTAGCTCTAAAGGCTATGGTTAGGCATGACCCTGTAATTAATATCTACAATTACTTAACACTTCGTGCAAAAAAAGTGACTTTTGTGCCCCATGCCATTCATTTTGCAAGTTTTTGACGATGGCTGATGGAAGATATGACAGTTTGGTTTCCATTTTTCTCTAGATGGCTGATGGAAATGACGAAAGCGCTATGGAAGTTGCGTACCAGACAGACACAAATATGGACGAGAAACAAAAGCGGGAGGGGAAGTCGAGATCAGTTGTCTGGCAGCATTTCACGAAGCTCATGAAGGAGGACGGGACATATGAGAAATGCAAGTGCAGCCACTGTAACAAGGTTTTTGCTTGCTCAAGCAGGTCTGGGACCACCAATTTACTACGCCACCTAACTGAAGGTGGCTGCCCAGTCGTGAAGCTCGACAAAAAGGGTTGCTCAGAGCGGAAGGCGGTCTCTTTACCATGGAAGTATGATCATCAAGCACCTATTGAACAGTCAGTTGATATGCACGAGGAGGTATTGCCCGTGGGGATGCCTTATGTTTGCTCAAATGGTGAATTTGTGGGCTCTTCTTATG